GGGGCCTAGAAAGACATTAAGATGGCTTGGAGATGAAACAAGAAGCAGGTAAGAGGGTAATTTGTAGGGTGCCAGTGAGAGAAGAGTCATAACCAGGAATGGCTGGCCTTCTGTTTATTGACAGGGGAATCAAGAACTGAGTATTATCTTAGCCAAGTAATGCTGAACTCTGTAATTTCTCTTTGGCCAGAGATTGCTGATCTGCATTGAATTTGGATATTCCCCTCCCCAGTCAAAAAATTTTGTGAGTTCCTTCCTAATGATCAAGAAGATTTCCTATAGGACAGATCAAATTTAATCAGGGGAGGCATTTTGGCAATGGTTGGCTGTCATGATTGAGTACCTATACAGTTTTAGAGACTTAGGCAAAAGTAGTAATGGATACAACATCATCCCTGGTGACATCAAGCTGTAATCCAGCTTATTCCCAAAGCTTTGTCCTGTGGTTTTCTTGTTTTTAGGTGCTCTGCTCTAGGCACCTAGCATTGTAGGACTCTATCCATCTGACTGAGCAGACTCCATTCAACCCACTCAGAGGGGCTTGGTTCTTTGCCATAGACCACAGCTTATGTCTACAGGCCTAGCAGAAAATACATGGTGTCAGGGAAGAGAGCTTTCGGAGGGAAAGGAAAGAACTGTATCTTATGGCACTGAAAGAAAAAAGTAAATCCTGTCTCTCTTTTCTTGGACTTTCTAGTTGTAAGCTCTTTTGAGATGACCAGAAGAGTTGAGATCTCTTCTCCAGTACAGCTCCCATTCCCACAGGCAGGAACCAGTTGTCCACGTTCATGTGCAGCTGTCCCCCGCTCTTCCCTGCTCCAGCTTCAGCCCCAGCAAACCTCGGAACCCACTAACACTCACTCTGTACGCGTATCTGGACTTCATGGCTCTGTTTCCATCTGTTGAGAGTCACTGCCTTCGCATTGCATGAGTAAGACCCTGTTTGCCGCATGTTAAAGATACGGAATTCCGGAGAATGGCTCCAGCCTGACCCCAGGGCTTGTCTGCCTCTGAAGAAGCGGAACTGGAGCTGGATGTCTAACCTCTGTGGTGGGAGTTGTACCTCGCAGGTCAGGGTCACCAGGGTCCCCTCAGTGGGCTGGGAGGGTCTGGCTGTCAGCACAGGAAGTGGAAACAATTCTAGAGAGAAGGATCACAACAGCCCCCAGAGCAGTGAGACTTGGAACTGCTCTGGAGAAAAACACATTTCATCCTCAGCACCAGCAAACAGAACATACAGGAGCAAAGAGAAGCATGACATTACTTTTTAACATCCTTCAGTCCAAAGCATTTTAGTCCCTTGTAGGAATGCGCCCTGGGGTTCCATGGTATTCCAGTCTATGCTTCTTACTATTCCACCTCTCCAACCCCAGGAACCCTCCTGTGACTAACGCATTTCACAAACCAATGAAAACTTTACCTTCGACTTCGATTTTCACTGAGTTTGAAGAAACAAATTTATTAGATTCCTTATCTCCTTTACAAAAATATTCACCATTGTCCTTCAGACTTGCTTGATGAATGTGGAATTCTGGGCTATTATTAAGGACTGTCAGGATTTTTGTATTCTTGTAAATTTTCAGACTATTCAGTACTACATTCTCCTTTGCTCGGCATTTCAGAACCACAGAGTCGTCTTGAAACACAGAGACCGGAGCCTGCAGGGTTAGTGGCGCTGTAGGAAACACAAGACTAGTTATTTGGTTCATCCTGTTGTTTCTCCCCTCTTTTCATTATTATTCCAAGTAGATTCTATAGGAATGAGGACTGGAAAAAAAGTTTCTTAAAGAAATTAACGTTTCTTTTTTTCTGATTCGAAAATGAGTTCATGTTCCTTAAGAAGACTTGGAAAACAGAAATATAAATGAAAAT